GGAAAGGGGATGAAGAGAAAATAGACTACGAATATTAAGAATTGATGAGCAGGAAAAATAATCATTAGAAGGAAGATGAAGAAAAGTGCCTCTGTATGAGGAAGTTTAGGGTACAAGTCTCCAGTTTTGGATGTGATAGGAAGCTGTTCTCCAAAAATTTGCCTACTTTTCAGAATATAGATATCATCAATGCTAAGACAATCGTAGGAGAGCCAGTGTGGTGTAGTGGTTAAGGCACTAGAAACCGGGAGACCGTGAGTTCTAGTCCTGCCTTGGGCATGAAGTCAGCTGGGTGACCTTAGGCCAGACACTTTCTCTCAGCCCTAGGAAGCAGGTAATGGCAACCCACTTCCGAAAAACCTTGCCAAGAAAACTGCAGGGACTAGTCCAGGCAGTCGCCAGGAGTCATAAACTACCTTGAAGGCACAACAAGAAGACAATTGTGCTTACCCTCCCTGTCCAATGACAGGTATTATCTTCACATTTTGTTGTATGCTGTCGCCATTTTTCTTTTTGGTATAGTAGGTTCCTTGCCATTCCTGTAGATCAAGAAAAAGCAACATTCTACCTAAAAGACTGGCCATTCTCAAAGCACACCTTTGACCCAGTTCTCATGCACTGATTTTGGATGGTTGCCTTATGGAAAAGCATTATTTTGCTAGGGTTAGGAAACTCCATTCCTTTCTAGTGTTGGCACAATGTTGCATCATATGCTATAACTTCTTAGTGCACTCTTGTTTAACTTTTTCTGTTGCTTCCCTCAAATTTTTCCCTCTATCTTACTCACTTGGCATCTAACTGGAACCTTCTGTTGTATATATTACACCCAGTTGCCCCCTGAATGCCACCAATATTGAATTAGAATTCTCATGAGATTTTGAGCAAGAATGTTGAAATTTTGCAAGCTTTTAGCACGTTCATGCTAGCTTTTCAATGCCTGATGCGTACTGTTTAGTTTTTAAAAAATAGAACACATTTGCTTGTTCCAAATAAAGCTCTTATTCTTATTCCACCTTCCCAGGAAGTTCAGAATAGTTTACAGAGTAGTTTTCAAGTAATTATTCCATTATTTTATCACAACAACCTTGCAATGCTGGTTAGACTGAGAAAGTCACATATTTGACACAGACCTTCAAGCACATTTTGTGACTGAATAACCCCAAATCAGCTCTACTCGTTCATCGTTCTTACTAATATCCACACTAGATCAGACCAATGCTTACCTTTTCAAACTTGATGCAAGAATTAATAGTATCAAGGAAATCAGCTTTCTTTTCATTTGTAGGCACTTCAGTTAGTTCCTTTCCTATTAATTCGCCCTTCTGATAGCCCATCACTGCTTCAAATGCAGGATTTACATACTAGGAAATAATAATAAATAAGAAACAACCACAAGTGAAAATTTAAGATCAACCTGAGCATTTATCTAACATTCAATCTTGATGCACATTTTCTAAGCTACGCAGAACTCTTTTCACTCAACCAGATCTTAAAGCAGAACTGAGGGCAGAGGCTGTTGTATTGCAGGGAACCTTTTTAACTAAAAGATAGCGATGGAATCATAATGCTTAAATAAATGATTAAACTAAGCCTTTAGTGAAAAGGAATCCTACGACCACTCTCACCCTTGACTGGAACTGCATAACGCATTTAATCATTTCTTTCAAAACCTATTGGCTTCATTCACACATGCTAAGCTCAGGCAGTTTTAACCTTGGTTTTGTGTGTGGGTGCGAAACTCACACGTTTGATCAACGGTTGCATGAATCTAGCCTGTTTGGTTGGGTTACAGTTCAAGGTATTGTACAAACTCCCAGAAAACAAGTGAGTTGATCAACCAGGCGAAGGCTGCTGTATGAATCCAGCCTAGTGTCCAACAGAACTTGTTCCCCAGTATATGATTTTCGGAAAACAGCCTCTTAGTCCATGGATCAGATTAGCCATGGAACATTGTTAATGCTAGAATAAGCCCTAAGTCAAGCATAATTGCTACATTAGAAAGATCTCCTTTGTGGGTCACTCCAACTTTTGGAGAGTGCCTCCTACTTTAATGATGATGTTGGTCAGAGCTAAGGGACATGACAGTGGTGGCTGTGCCCTGAACAAGGGATAAGCAGCTGGCTCCTGTTACTGCATTTTCCCAAAATGTTCTGATGTCCCAGCACTCAGGGACACTGTGAGAAAGAATAAGGACTCTTGCCAGGTGCTGACGGGAGAATTGAAGAATTAATTAAAGATGGGTTATGGGGTACCAGCACTTACCTAGAGATACCAAGGCTCAGC